GCGAGTCTGTGCGCAGCTACCTCGGCTACACCTCGGCTATACCTCGCCGCCGTTATCTCATCGCCGCCGTTATCTCAGCTCGTTTGCGGTGCCTTGCCCGTAGCTGCGGGCCGGTGGGAGGGGTCCGAGGAGTCTGGCCTCGAGCGCGAGGTCTCGTGCGTCGTCAAGTGCCCGCCCAAGCCGATGCTGCCCGACCAGACGAGGGACCTTTGCCCCGCGGACGCCGCAGCAGCAGCTGCGCACGGCGTCTGCTCATCCGACGCAGCTCGGAGTAGGTTGTCATCCGGCAGCGGCTCCAGCGGCAAGGCGGCGAGCGGCTGCTGCTCGAGCGCGAGGCGCTGCTTGCCTCCTCTCCCTCCCTCCCTCCCTCCCCCCCTCTCCCCCCTCCCTCCCTCTCCCCCCTCCCTCTCCCCCATCCCTCCCTCCCTCCCCCCCTCCCTCTCCCCCCTCCCTCGCTCCTCCCCCTTCCTCCCTCCTCCCCCTACCCCCCTCCCTCCTCCTCCTCCCTCCCTCCTCCTCGCGCGTCCACCCTCGCGCCTCCCCCCTCCTTGCCTCGCCCCCTCCCGCCCCCCTTCCAGCTCGACGGTCGTCTTGTCGAGCGCGCGCTCTCTCTCCGTAGGTCGGCACGCTAGACATCCCGTATGGCGAGTCCTTCCGCGTGCAGGAGCGGTGGGTCGCGCTCGCTTCGGCGGCGGGCGGGGGCGGCGACGGAGGCGTGCAGCTGCGGGTGTGGAGCTATGTCCAGTTCAAAGGGCGCAAGGCTCGCCCCTGATCGCTCTCTCGCGAGCGAGGTTATGGCGCGTGGGCCCCGCAGGCAAGCCTCCCGCCACCTCCCCGCAGGCGGCCCTGATGGCGAGTAAGATCCGCTCGCACGCGCTCAAAAAGTCGCGCAAGGCGGCCACGGCGGCGGCGGAGCTGCTCGCACGTGCCGCGTGCCTGCGAGGAGGCCATTCTCCCCTACTGACCGGGCCAACGTGCGTCTCGTTGCGCGGCGCGTAGGCGTGGCCTCGGCCGAGGAGGAGGAGGAGCAGCCGCCGCCGCCAGCCCCCCCCGGCGCCGCTTTCACCGCCGGCGCGGGCGGCAGCGGCTTGGGTGGCGCGGGCGGCGGGCGTGGCGCCGAGTTGCAGGAGCAGTACGACGCTCTGTTCGAGGAGGCGTCTTACCTCAAGCGGCGGTGCGCGCAGCTCGAGCGCGAGAATGCTCGGCTCGAGCACGGCCGCCGCCACACGAGCAAGGACAAGCGGCAGCTCCTCGAGAAGGTGGCGGAGCTCGAGGCGGCGCTGGTGGCCGAGAGGCGCAAGCGAGCTGACATGGAGGAGGCCCTCGCCACCGCGTACAACGCCACGTTGCGCGAGCTTGTCGAGGCGGGCGCCGGGCGACCGAATGGAGCCGGGGCGTCGCGGGCCGCCGCCGCCAAGCCCACTCGCCCGCTGAAGGGCACGCAGCGGCTTCGAGCGCTCGCAAGCAGCCCGCCGCCGTGAGGCGGTCCGCGCGTGTCTTTGTGAGGTGAGCGATTGCGCGTGGTTGGATGTGAAAAGGGTCACGACCGTCTCGGAATTTGGAATCGTCCGTGTGCGGCGCAGTGTTAAAACCCCGGGTCAAAACGTGTGTTGGGGAGCCACAAGGTGTGGGTCTGTGAATGATCAGATTTTTTTCCAAATACGGCTGAAGCTCAAAGGAGATCTGAGACTGTGAGAGTGTCTCTGAGCTCTGGCGTCTGGGACTGGCGACTGGGGGCCCATGCGCCATCGCGCATGGGCGGGCGGCGGACTCGGCGGGGGGGCCGCCAGGGCCCAGGGGACGCGTCGTCTGGTCTCTCACGTCTCAGGATCAGAGGCCACGGGCACACACGTGCCGTAGACCTCGTCGCGGAAAGGGGTTTACGTTTCCTGCTGCTGCTGCTGCTGCTGCTGCTGCTGCTGCTGCTGCTGCTGCTGCTCGCGGACGAGGCGGTCGTTCAGCTCCTTCACACGGCGCGCCGAGGTGTGGCTTCCGAGGATGTAAAAGAGCGAGCCCATGCCAACCCCACCAGCGCCAACCGTCGCTCCACCGCCGAGCAGCGTCTGAGTCATAGCCTGCGCGATCGTGTCCTGCGACCCACCAAGAGCTCTGCCGTCATTGGGTCGCACATTCCGACCGGAGGCGGGGTGGCTGTCGCCAGCTTGCCTCGCCGTGCGGCGGTGACGGCGGCCGCTGTTCGGTGTCTGCGCGTTTTTGACGCTGTATGGACCGGCGGTAGGATGCACGCTCCGCGGCGACGGCGCCGAGCGGGTTCCGTCTCCTCGATCGCTGCCTTCGCGCGGAGCCGTCCACACGTTGGCAGCGCGCGACCGGCGCGGTGTGGAGGCTACTCCGCCGGTCGCGCCTCGCAAGAGGCTCTGCACCTCTTGTTCTTCCGCCCGGATGCGATCGAGCTGCGCCTGCTGCAGCTGCAACTCCTGGAGAGTTGCTTGCAGGAGCACGTCATCCGTCTCAATGTCCTCCAGCAGACCGCCCTCCGGCTGTGACGCGTGACCGGGAGGGTCATCCTCCATGCGCTTCCCCCCATTCGCCCAAGAGAGCGCTCGGTCGACTCGCCCCGCCAGCGCATTGTCCAAGGCCTTCTCCAACCGGTGGCTCGCTCTTTGGTGGGCTGCACTCTCGGCGCGCGCCTCTCGGAGCTGCTGGCGCAGCTCCGCCACGTCGTCGTCCTCTCGGGTAGAGGCAAAATCGGGGCCGAGGCTCCTCGGCGCCTCCGGCGACAAGCGGAAGGCGGGCGGGGGCATGGCGGTGCTCTCTGCTCGGTGGCCCGCGCTGCGCAGCGCCAGTCGGAGACGCTGGACGGTCTGCTTTAGCCGATGTATGTGAGCCTCGTACCGCTCTCGCTGCTGCTGCAGTGTTTCGGACACATCCGCCGGGTTTCGGGCCGCAGTCAACGTCACGCGCTTGGCACGGTCGGCAAAGCGCAGGGTGGAGAGATTGTTCTCTACCGCGTCGGCTGTGGGCGAGAGCATTGCGAGCAGCACCGTGCGCGAGTTGCCGGAGAGCGCCGGCTGCAGAAGGCGCGTGAGCACCGAGTCCCGAAATGGGATGTGTGACTCGCCACGCGTAGAGACGGAGAGCGCGTGCACGCACTTGGCGAGCGCCGTCAGCGAGGTATTGATCTGGCAGCGCTCGCGCTGGTGGTCTCGAGCGAGCAGTTCTGCAGCCATGGCACGTTCCGAGCCGGCGAGGTCGACGAGGCAGAAGCGCGAGCGAAGGCCGCCTCTCGCGGAACCGCCTCGCTGCTCGACGATAAATTGCAGCACGGCGTGCGAGCGGGACGACCGCGCATTCGCGTCTGTCGCGCGTATTGCTCGCATTCGAAGAGCCCGACGTATCAAGGCCACGGCAGCCGCTGCGTCATGCAGTGGCACCTCTGTCAGGCCTTGCACGTACGTCTCTCGGCTCTCAGACTCGCGGAGCGCCAGGGCTGGCCTCTCGTGCCCGCCGTCCACGCTCGGCAGGAGCAGGTCCCGAAGAGTCTCATTGTAAACCTCGAGCATCGACGCGCTGACCATGACGCGAGTCCCACAGGTGGCTGCGCACGCGGCATGCTCAAAGATCTGATGGAGCGCACGACCCGCGATGCCGGTGCGCTCTTCGCCCTCCTGTTCGTCGGGCAGGAGACCGCCAAAGATGGTGTGAGTCTTACCGGAGCCTGTCTGCCCGTAGGCAAGCACCGTCGCGTTTATGCCGTCGAGCGCTGCTTCACAGGCCGGCCGAATGTGCGAAAACAGTGAGCGCTGATCCGCCTCCCCGTCGAGGGCCGCGTCAAACTGCGCGGAGAAGGTGCGTTGCTTCCGGATCAGCTGCACGGTGTCGCCCCTGATCGCGAGCGAGTCCACGTCTAGATCGTCACGACCAGATTGGGGTGGGCGCACCCGCACGATCACGCGGATTGGTTCTTCCGGGTTTTGCGTGCGGGCCATCAACGCGAAGAAACTCTCTCTCTCAACGCGCGAACCAACGAACGAGACCGCGGCGGGGGAGGTACGGGCTGCAGCGGGGTGGATCTCGCGCGCGTGCGCCTCGGGCTGAACGTTACATTACACGTAAAAGAGGCAATTTTTCGGTGCTCCCCGCACGGCGAGAACACAGTGTACGTCGCGCTGCAGCACATGAAGAACCACGTGTGGCGCGAGATCTGGCCGGCGATGCCGAGCGACGCGAGGCAGTACTGCCGGCTGGTGACCAACCAGGTGATGTCGCTGTTCGACGGCGGCGGCGGCGGGATGAAGGACGCGGCAGGAGCCGCCGGCCGGGCGGCGGGCCGCGAGGCGGCGCGGGAGAGCGCGTCGCACGGGCAGGAGCGAGGCGGCGCAGCGGGCGGCGAGCGAGAGGGCGAGCGCCGAGGCCGAGCCGGCGGACGATGGCCGAGCTGCCCGCGAGGCGACGACGAAGCCGTGCACGAGGCAGCACCTCTTCCAGGTGGGAGAGTACCAGATGCAGGTACCTGGAAAAACCCGGGTATACCTGGGAAATACCCTGCGACCGCCTGGGTATCGTGCCGATTTCCTTGAGCACTTGAGCACTGGATAGGGTCGATTCCGCATGGTACGGGACCCCTCGATCGTCTCGCCCTCCCTCACTGGTGTGTTCATTGGGGGGGTCATAACAAGCACGGCACAGGATCGAGGTGCACGCTGCTGAAGCAGTGTCGTCCCCCCTCTCCACCATCTTACAGGGAGACGTCGGCGGTGATGGCGGTGTGACCGATCGAGCTACAAGCAAGAGCGGGAGCTCGTTCAGCAGGCCGATTTCCTCAATTGACAATTGTGCCTCAGATTTTGCCCCAGACCAGCTCTCAGACTCAAGGAAACTCGCGAGTTTCCAGAATGGAGCACCAAACGCCCTCTGTTTTCCCTGGAAATTTCCGGAAACGCAAGTGCTGGGGACCCTCTGTTTTCCTTTTTGTTTGCCGGAAAAGGAGATGCAGGCCAAAGTGGGGAGCGCATCGCGACACGGAGCTGGTTGAAGAAATAAGAGGGCTCCCGCGGCGATCAACACCGCAACTCCTTTTCTAAATTTCACCACTCTTCTTACGCGCGACGACGCTACAGCCTACCAAACCTCCACACACACGTGCACGCAGCGCTGCAGCAGCGCCGCCGTCTCGTCCTCGGGCCGCTCCAGGTCCATGACGACGTTCGTCGAGGCGTGGAAGCGCGTCTCCAGGTCGATGGCCGCCTGCTCGGCCGCGGCGAGCTTGCCCTGGTCGACGCACATGCCGCACACCGCGTGCGCCGGGCAGCCGCACTGGCCGCGTTGTGGGCGCACGGTCTTGGCGACCGCCGGCGCTGCGCGCCGGTCGTGCTGCTCACGCTGCCGGCGGCGCTGGCGCACACCGCGTGCGCCGGGCAGCCGCACTGGCCGCGTTGTGGGCGCACGGTCTTGGCGACCGCCGGCGCTGCGCGCCGGTCGTGCTGCTCACGCTGCCGGCGGCGCTGGTCGCGCGCCTGCCGATCGCGCGTGTTCGCGGCGGCTGCATCTCCTGCTCGTTTCGCTCGCACCCGAGCGGCGGTCGCCAGGCGCTTCAGGTCGGCGGTGCTGCGCGCGCGGCCGTCGGCTCTGCACAGCCACATGTCCTCCTCCTCGGCAGGCTCGCACGGCTTGCCGTCGAACTGCGGCGGGAACCCGCGACGACGCTTCGCCCAGGCCGGGCACGATGGTGCCGCGACGAGCGGCGTCGAGGCGACGGCCATCGATGGGTCCAGAAGACTTGGAGACACTTCTAAACCAAAAGCGAGCACAAGTGCGTTACATGGGCATGGCCGGCGTTTCTGCACCGAACGATCTTACTTTCGGTCTATCGAAAGTGTTGATCGATAACTTTGTAAATTCTTGTGTGCTGTGAGACCGCGTTGACTCGGTTTCAGTCTCCTCAGCTCTGAGGAGCCCCCAAAAGAGCAGAAAATGCCTCGATGCAAAAAAGATGCAAAGACCCAAAGTCGATCACCTCACGCAAGAGCGCCCTTGCCACTCCTGCATCTTCTGCGTCTCGGCCCGCTCACGCCCGACACAAGACGTGCGAATGCTCGCGCTGATCGCCATCATGACGGTCGGAATAGAGCTTCGTGATGCCAACGCGACACCTACAACGATTGCTGTCAGTGACGTCAACATGACGGACGCCAGCGCAAACGCCATTCTCGAGTACGACACAGTGGCTCACATCTTCAAGCAGGCGTGTCAGCTCTTAAATATCGTCCCCGATGTAGCTCAGCTCTCTGCACCCGTCGGCTCGCGATTAGGTCGAATCCGCCGTCCTTTCTAACAACTCCCGCGAGTGGCCACCAGCGCTCGTGAGGCGCTTGCTCTTCGAGCACTGGAACCACATCAAGAAACCGAGCTCGAGGATGGTCGTCCCCGGCAAGTGCCAGCGGGTCGTCGAGCACAAGCTTGCCAGACTCAAAAAAGCACAACCGCAGTGCTATCTGTGCGTCTCGAATCAGGCTCATATCTCCCAATCTTACCATAGGCGCTCGCGCCCGACATCTTCAACATCTATGAAGGGTGAAATGCGTCCGAGACGAGCGCGCTTCAGGGTGCTATTCGCGAGGCTATGAAGAGCATCCGCGAGTCGGACCCGATCGCCATCGCCTCTCCCGGCATTGCGAAGGCACCGCCGTGCACATTCGCTCCCAACCCACCCTGTCGGCTCTCAGGTCCCATCTCAACGTGTCAAGAAGTCAATATACCGAGAATCAACAACTAATCAACAACAACTCATCAACGATCAAGGAAGTAGCCGCTCTTCATGCGGTACCTGCCTCTCGAGCAGTAGCTCGTGTCGTCTACTCAGTTTCTTCTCGTGCAGTTGCTCGTTCGAGCTATTTCACCTCACCCCTCGACTGTCGATCTAGGCCCGCGAATCGCTCCTCGTGCTGAGCAAATCAGATGCGACGCTCTTCGACGGCGATACCGTCGCCGAGCTCGTGACGGAGCTGGTCGACATGAAGCGGCGCAGCGGAGCACCGGACGCGGAGACGGACCTCAAGATCGTGCTCGACTTCAACAGAAGGTCAGGTCGAGGCTTACCACAACCTCAAGGAGGCCGGCGGAAAGAGGATCCACGACTTTCTGAGCGGCCAGGGTGGCGTGGGCAAGTCGACGCTCATTGCACTACTCGTGCAGGAATGGCGAAGCCAAGCGCTCAACGTGCTGGTGACAGGCTCAAGCGGCAAGGCCGCCGCGCTCCTCGGCGGCGTAACCGTGCACCGCGCCTTCGGCCTGTCCCCCAAAGGCGTCTTTCAGCGCGCAGCACTCGACTCGCCGCGCAGGAAGGGCCACCTGCAGCTTCTCGCGACGCTCGACGTGCTCGTGATCGATGAAGTGTCGATGCTGACGGCGGACACACTCAACGCGGTGGACGAGGCGCTCACCTTCGCGATGCGGCGGGCAACAGCATCGCGAGGATACGACATGTCGTTCGGCAACAAGTCCGTCATCGTGTGTGGCGACCTGTACCAGCTGCCGGCCGTGGAGCGCATCTTCCACGAGGACCAGCCGTACATGTCGCATCGCTGGGTCGAGTTCACGCTATCAGAGCTGACGGAGATCGTGCGCACTGACCCCGACCAAATCGAGCTGGCCGAAATGCTATCTCACGCGCGACTCGGTCATGAGCACCTCACGCAGAGGGACCGGCAGTTGCTTCAGTCGCGAGTCTGCGCCTGCCATGGCGGCCACGTACCGTTCACGGACGTGATGCGCATTCGACCACCAGGTGGCAAGGCAAAGGACGAGCGTGAGGTTTCCAGACAGGTAACGCACTGCGTGCCGTGTGGCGAGGCCACCATCCTCGCCGCGCGGCGCCACAAGGTCCAGGCCTTAAACGACGCTCACGTGGCTGAGAGGATCGACGCTGCAGGTGTCGTCGAGGTGTCGTCGTTGCAAGGTGTGCGCGAGCTCGCACCATCCTCGCTTCACCCAGACACGCTCTGAGTAGGCGCTTAGCATCGACCGGTACGATGGAGGAGGATACGTGCCGCCGAGCGAGCAGAAGAAGCTGTCGGACCGCCTGTCCGGCTTCGCCGCCCGACTGCAACTCTACATCGGGCAGCACCTCGTGATTACGGCGAACCGCCAGCGCCACCACGAACAACATCTGAACGGGAACATCGTGCGCGTGGACAACATCCAGCTCGACGCCAGCGGCCAGCCGATCGCGCTCAAAACCACGCTCGTCGACACAGGCGCGGAGCTGGTAATTCCACGGTTCGAGTCCAACCGCGTCCGCCTGGGCGAAGACATGGCCAGCCGCACGCAGTTCCCGGCTCGCAACCGCCGTTCCTCGTCTGTCTGTATGTTCTCCTGACCCGTGACCAAATCGCTCTCGGCGTTATAGGTCCTCCCCTCGCACGCCTGCACCGTGCACCGCGTGCAGGGTGCGACCCTCGCGAATGAGGTGCACATCTTGCTCAACGAGGAGTTCTTCGCGGCTGGACAGGCTCGCCACACATTACGTCCCACAGGATCTCAAATGCAAAAGCCTCACCCCCACTCTGTCGCTTAGGCGTACGTCGCTCTGTCACGCATCAAGCGCATCGGCGACCTGCACCTGTGGCATCTCCATCTCGACGCCATCAAGTCAAACCCAGGGATCGACTACCAATACACTCTTCTGCACCAACGGCGTCTGCGCGACTGCATTCAGTCGATGCCGGACCGTGAGAGAGTGAGTGCGACTCTTCCTCTCGCACGCGTCGCGGCGGGGATGGTCGAGTCTGACTAAGTCAGTGTTCTGTGTGATCGTACCCGATACAACTCAAAATCGCCGCAGCTGCCACTTTCACACGACCACAGAGTTCGCCCTCGCCCGCAATCCCACTTTCAAACAACCGAGAACCGTGTCCTCCGCGACATCATTCGCCCAGCCCTCCTCCGCCGAGCCCACCACCCTCGCCACCGCGGCCCTCGCCGCCGCCGCCCTCAGCATCGCCGTCGCCACCGCCTCCGTCCGCCTCGCCCTGGCCACCACCGCCGTCCACCTCGCCGTCGCCGCCGCCGCCGTCCGCCTCGCCATCTCCGCCGCCGCCGTCCGTCTCGCCGTTGCCTCCGCCGCTGTCCGCCTCGCCGCCGTCGCCGTCGGCATCGCACGGCATCGCCATTCCCGCCGCCGCCGTCGGCCTGGCCGTCGCCGCCGCCGCCCTCAGCATCGCCGTCGCCGCCGCCTACCTCCGCGTCGCCGTCGCCGCCGCCTCTTTCCACCTCGCCGTCGCCGCCGCTGCCGTCCGTCTCGCCGTCGCCGCCGCCTCCCTCCCCCGCGCCGTCGCCGCCGCCACCATCACCGCCGCCTCCATCGCCGCCTCCGCCCTCGCCGCCGCCGCCGAGCCCGCCGCCGCCGAGCCCGCCGCCACCATCTCCGCCGCCGCCGTCGCCGCCGCCGCCTCGCCGCCGCCGCCTCACCGCCGCCCCCCTCTCCGCCACCGCCGTCACCGCCACCGCCGAGCCCGCCGCCTCCGTCACCGCCCCCACCTAGCCCACCGCCACCGTCGCCGCCGCCGCCGTCGCCGCCGCCTCCATCGCCGCCTCGCCCTTGCAACCTCCACCGTCGCCGCCGCCGCCAAGCCAACTCCCCCGTCGCCGCCGCCTCCGTCGCCGCTGCGCCCTCTCCGCCACCGCCCTCGCCGCCGCCGCCCTCACCGCCGCCGCCGAGCCCACCTCCTCCATCGCCGCCTCCGCCTTCGCCTCTGCCGCCGTCGCCGCCTCCGCCCTCGCCGCCGCCCCCGTCACCGCAGCCTCCCTCGCCGCCGCCGCCGTCATCGCCGCCGAGCCCGCCACCGCCCTCGCCGCCGCCCCCGTCGCCGCCACCACCAGCCCGCCGCCACCGTCACAGCCGCCCTCGCCGCCGCCACCGTCACCGCCGCCGCCAAGCCCGCCGGCGCCGTCTCCGCCGCAGCCGTCGCCGCCGCTTCCATCGCCGCCGCCGCCCGGCTCACTGCCTCCATCACCGCCGCCGCCATCACTGCCGCCGCCATCGCCGCCGCCGTCGCCGCCGCCGTCGCCGCCGCCACCGTCCTCCTCGCCTTCGCCGCCGCCACCGCCTCCTCGCCTGCGCCGCCGCCACCGTCAACCTCGCCTTCGTCGCCGCCGCCCTCCGCGTCGCCCTCGCCTCCGCCGCCCTCTGCCTCGCCGTCACCGCCGCCGCCGTCCGCCTCGCCCTCGCCGCCGCCGCCGTCGGCCTCGCCCTCTCCACCGCCGCCGTTCGCCTCGCCGTCGCCACCGCCGCCGTCGCTTCGCCCACGCCGCCGCCGCCCTCCGTCTCGCCGTCGCCGCCGCCGCCGTCGGCCTCGCCATCTCCGCCGCCGCCGTCCGTCTCGCCGTCGCCTCCGCCGCCGTCGGCCTTGCCATCGCCGCCGCCGCCGTCGACCTCGCCCTCGCCGCCGCCACCGTCTATCCCGCCGTCACCGCCGCCACCGTCCACTTCACCCTCGCCGCCGCCGCCGTCCACCTCACCCTCGCCGCCGCCGCCCTCTGCGTCGCCGTCGCCGCCACCACCGTCAACGTCGCCCTCGCCGTCGCCACCGTCCGCCTCGACGTCGCCGCCGCCGCCGTCCGCCTTGCCCTCGCCTCCGCCACCCTCCGCCTCGCCGTCACCGCCACCGCCGTCCGTCTCGCCGTTGCACCGCCGCCGTCCGCCTCGCCCTCGCCGCCGCCGCCAGCCGCCTCGCCGCCGCCGCCGCTACCGTCCGCGTCGCCCTCGCCGCCGCCGCCGTCCGCCTCGCCCTCACCTCCGCCGCCCTCCGTCTCGCCGTCACCGCCGCCACCGTCCGCCGCGCCCTGGCCACAGGACGCCTCGAGTCCAGGGGCGGCGCCAGCGCGCGGCCGCCTCGCCGCGCCCCTGTCCAGGCAGAGGGACGAGAGGCGACGGACGGCCGCCTCGAGTCGAAGGCGGCGCCAGCGCACAGCCATCTCGCCGCGCCGCTGTCCAGGTAGCGATAAGGCGAGAGGCGACGGACGGAACCTCAAGTCGAGAGGCGGCGCCAGCGCACAGCTGCCTCGCCGGCCGCCGCCAGTGCACAGCTGCTCGCCGCGCCGCTGCATAGGCGGCGACGGAGACGAGAGGCAACTCGCCACGTCGCTGTCGTCTAGGCGGCGACGAGACGAAAGGCGACGGACAGAGCCTCGAGTCGCTAGCTCACAGCCACCTAGCCGCCTCGCCAAACCGCTGTACAGGCGGCGATGAGACGACAGGCAATGGACGGACGCCTCGAGTCGAGAGTGGCACCAGCGCATGGCTGCCACGCCGTGTCGCTGTCCAGACGACGCTGTGCCCCCGGAAAGAGAATTTCGCAGCGCCCTCGCTCCTTTCCTCTCGACACGCCCGCTTCGGCTTCACGCCGCTGCGCCGCCGTGTCCTAGCTCGCAGCCACAGAGATGTCCACGCGTACCGCTCTTCGGTGTCCCCCAACCCTGCATGCAGCTAAGCGCCTCTCGCCCCAGCCTAGCTAACTGAACCGTATGCGCATCCACTACGCACTTCCCGACTTAGACTCACTATCTAAAGTGCCGGCCATCGTCAGCTGCACTCGACTCACACTCTGGAGCCTAAAATAAAAAATCCTCAAAATGTATCAAAGTAGCGTCGCGCCGAGCCCGTCGTGGAAGGATGAAGAACGTCGTCAAACCAGTGCTTCTTGCGCCGGGCCCGTCGTGGAAGCATGAAGAAGCCCAAACGAGAGCTCGAAACCAGGCTGCTCTTTCAAAGAAAGCGCACAAAAGCGTAAAACAAGGTGGATACCCAACATCCAGTCACGACGGCAGCCTCCTCTAGTGCATGCAAGCGTCGGCGCTCCCATCATGCCACATCGCTTCCGCTCTCCGGCTCACTCGCATCAACATGCCACATCGCCCTCGCCCTCCGGCTCACTCGCATCGTCTTGCGACGCAGGTCACAATGGCGAACCGTCCGAAGATCACAAACGTGAACCCAAACCAGCTCGGCAACTATCCAACTCTCGCCAACCACCTTTCAACGGCGTCTATTTAGTCAGTCCTTTGACTTGGAGACACTTCTAAACCAAAAGCGAGCACAAGTGCGTTACATGGGCATGGCCGGCGTTTCTGCACCGAACGATCTTACTTTCGGTCTATCGAAAGTGTTGATCGATAACTTTGTAAATTCTTGTGTGCTGTGAGACGGCGGTGTTTTGTTTAAAGGCCCACTCCACGCCCCCTTTCGACTTTGAGCAAGTGGTACCACTTTGTCGCCGCTGCCTCCTGAGCACCCCCACGCCGGTTGGGGCTGCCCTCCGCCCACCAGCCGGCCACAGGCCGCCACCCTGGCCGGCCGGCGTCGAGAGAACGGCCACACTCGACCGACCGGGTGTCGCGCCGCTGCCTGCTTCTCGCGCCGCTGTAGCAGCGCCAGCGGCTCGGCCGCGCATCCTTCACACACGCCGCCACGACCAAGCTGAGCGGGCCCAGTGTCGAGGTCTGGTGCGAGCTGCATGTGAGGGGCGGCTTTGGCCACAGCAGGTCCACCAGACGGATCTCAAAGCTTGCCGTCGGCGTGCTGTCGTGGCGAGAGCCGAGACCGCTGCAGAGGAGCCGAGTGCAGTGACGATCCAGAGGCTACCAGGGCCACCAAGTGGTAGCCCTTGCCCATTCTGATCAGGGCTGTGCTTTGGTGGGGTTGTGTTTGAGCATGTGTGAAGTGGGAGTGCGTGCCGGCGGTGTCTGTGGGTGAAACGGGCGTGAGTGAGGCCGTAAGAGCCGTGGTATGAGCCAGAGTGGGCTTCATCACCCAAAATAAGGACGGTTTGGGACAGCTCAGACTTGGTACTGATGAGCCTGGGCCAGGAGGGCGACAGAGAAGGCGAGGTGGTGAGCTGGGAAGCCGCTTTGTCGGCACCTCGACGTGTCGCGATGAACTGCCGAAAAGTACTATTTGCGGCTATTGCTCAAAACTTCGGGAGACAAGGCCTACATATTATGACTGAATCCTTGCGCCTGGTGCATGAGGGCTGCGGGTCGGGACATTTCACGGTCGGTGGCGCCGGTGTTGGCCTCCGGAAAGCCCTCGCAATCGCCTCGGATGGGGTCCACCGGAGACAATCTCGAGCCCTCTCCGTGGCATCACGAGCCGGTGTGAGCTTGCAGACCCAAGGTAAGTGCGGTCTGGGACGGCTTAGGCTTGCTACTGATGGGCCTGGGCCAGGAGGGCGACAGAGAAGGCGAGATGGTGAGCTGAGACGCTGGAGAGTCCGCGTGTGACCGTGTCGCGGTGTAGGGGCGATAAATGATAATTCCTGTTTCAGGCTTTCATCATCGGGAACTGTATATCTCATTAAGAGTGAGTATTTTCTTTTCAGGACTTTAGCCTGTTTCACAAGTTGAGTATTTGGGCGCTG